TTGCCTCTGTGAGCCACAGGCAGGCTTCTGCAACAGAAATGCATTCTTGTCTCTCGATCCATTCAAAATTGCTGTGACAGAGCACATTAGCAATCCCCAAATCAGACGTCACCTTCTTTCTTGCGCCTTTTCAATTCTCTTTCCTGGTAAGCACTTAAACCAATTATTTTTCTCTTTATCTGAAGCTCAGAGTTCCAGGACCATCTTCTGAATCTGTTTTATCTGGTTTTCCATATCTTTGCTTCAGAGGGTCCATACAGCCTTGCTACCTAGTCCACCATCATGCCCTGCTTTCCCTAGTATCTTTTAAAAAAACTAACTTTTATTGTGATTTGTGTGAAAACTTACAGAACAAATTGGTTTTCTATTCAACAATTCATAAACATTTTGTTTTATGGCATTGGTTGTAATCACAATATAACAGAAGTCTTCTCACTTCCTGTATTTCCCATTTCTATATGTCCTTTTTTACCCATTCCTACCTTCTGAGTTTTATTCTGGGAAAATGCTGCCCTTTTTATCTCTGTACTTTTGATCCTCTATGGCTGATTGTTCTAAGAAGTGTGTATCTCTCTGATGTTATTGTTCACCTTATATGCTTGCCTATTTGGCTGAAAGTTGAGCCATGTTGGTGAGTTTAGTTCCAGCTTTAAAGAGTGACTAAGGACTATAGTTTCAGGTGTTCCACAAGTGTCTAGCAAAACGGCGTACTTGGTCTTTTTTTTTTTTTTTTAATGACTTTGAGTTCTGTTTCACATTGTTTTCCCACTCTATCCAGTACTTTCTATTGTGATCCTTTCAGAGCAGTTGGCAGTGGTATCCAAGAACTATCTAGTTCTTATGGTCTCAGGGTAGAGGCTGAGGTTAGTGTAGTCCTTTGGGCTAATTGTTTTCATGTGTCTGATTTTCTTCACTCTTCTATGCTTCGGACACAGAAATACCAATATTTGCACATTACATGGACACTAACAAGATTTTAAGATCCCAGTTTCTAGTCTCCAAGGTAGAATGTTGAAACTTTACTTTGTTCTTTGTGGTCTATGTTATGCTAACTGACCATGATGTCCCTCCCCCTGCTCCTCCCACCTCACTATGGCTCTGAGTCCTGAGGCCCAGTGACTCATTCCCTCAAGGTGTTTGGTTATGGCTAAGAAGTTTTCATAATTTTGCTCCCTGATGGCTATACTATGGGGAATGTGGTGACTCTATAGGATAAGCACTGGACTTTGAGCCACAAGGTCACCAGTTCGAGCCTCCTATTTTAAGTTTTAGTTAGTTTATTTATTTATTTGTTTGTTTGTTTGTTGTTGTTAAGTGCCGTCGAGTTGATTTTGACACATAGTGACCCTGTATAGGGTTTCCAAAGAGCAACTGATGAGCTTGAACCACCGGTCTTGCAGTTCAAACTGACTTTGCAGTCAGATGCATTAACCCAAAGTGCCACACCAGTTTATTTATAGTACTGGTTAATTTTCAGGTGATATTGTTGTGTGTTATACTTAGATTTTTGTGTGCTATTGTTAGTTCTATGACCACAGGTATCCCTTTAGTATTTATTATAAGGTTAATCTGATTTTTTACAGATTCCTTTAATTTCTCTTTATATGGATATGTTTGAATTTTGCCATCATATCTGAGGAACAATTTTGCTGGATATGTAATTCTAGGTTGAAAAAAAAATTCATTGTTTTATGCATGTATTTCCTTCTTGCTTTCCTGGTTTCTGCTGAGAAATCAGAGGCAATTGATCCTGTTTTATAGCTATCATTTGTTTGGTTTTTAAGCTGCTTTCAGATTATTTGTGATTGGTTTTGGAATGTTTGATTATGATGTGTTTTAGTGATTTTCTTTTTGGGGTCTATCCTATCTCAAGGAGCTCTGGTAGTGTAGTGGTTACTAGTTGGACTGCCAACCTCAAGGTCCACAGTTAAAAACTACCAGCAATTCATCAGGAGAATGATGAGGCTTTCTGATCCTTAGATCAGATCCTCAGAGCCTTAGAAACCCTATAGAGAGTCACTGTGAGTCAGAACCAATATCACGGCATATAACCAACTGACCAACCATTCTATTTGAAGGTCATTGAACTTCTTGAATGCATATTGTTCCATCTTTCATTTTAGAAAGGTTTTTCCAACAAATCTTCAACAATTTTCTGTTTGGTTAAAGTTATTCTTCTTAGGTCCCACATAATTTTTAGGTTTTCTTTAATTTTTTAATTTTATTTATTTTTCTTCTGATTGTTCCTCTAACAGATTTGTATTTGATCTTTCTTCAATTTTACTAATTATGCCTTCCATTGATTCAATTGTACTCCTTTGTCTTTCCAGTGCACTGTTTCTGCAACTTTAGTATCAATCTTGATTTCTAGTTGTTATTTTTGTATGGTTTCTAATTTTCCATTTATTTTCTCAATTTGCTCATATGTTGTTCTAGAGGTTGTTTTTTTTTCTGTTTTTCTTGATTTTGTTTATGATTTTCTTTATGTTGTCTTTGTTTTTCTTGTTCTTCTTAGTCTCCTGAAGGGTCCTAAATGCAATATTTTTGAATGCCTTAACTGTAAGATTGGCAGTTTGAGCACACCAGCTGCTCTTTGGGAAAAATATAACAACAACAATTGTTACTTCTAATATGATTTTATCTTCTGGAAGATTTTATGGCCCTGTATTTTTGTTATTTGCTTGAGCCATCTTGTTCTGTTTGTGTGTGTGTGTGTCATTTAAAATTATCTGTTGTCTATGAGACACTATGGTGCTATTGCATTAATTTCTTGATTGTATGTTGACTTTCTTCACCTTGTTTTTTTTTTGTTTGTTTGTTTCAATAGATGCAGGCAATGGGTCAGATGTGCTATTCTTGTTGCTAGTTTGGTTGCACTAGAGCTATCTGTTTTGGAGAGGATTTGGCAGTGGTTAGATGTATGGGTGCAAGCTGATTGCTGATCATACAGAGTAGCTGAGGTCAGGCTGGACAGGTGTTGACTGTAAGGCTGCTGGAGTGAGTGGTGTTATTCATTCAGTGGGTAAGTAGTCTGGCAGGGTTTCAGGTATGATTGGGTAGAGTCACTGGTTCCAGACTAATGGGAAAAAAAGAATAAAGAAAAGAAGAGGGAGAATAAGGGGAGAAAATGAAAGAAAAAAGCATAGACAAGAGAGAACAAAAAGGAAAGGATAAAGGGCAATAAATAGCAGTACAACACAAGTGCAAACTTCAGTCACCAAACATACAGGTGTGGCAGATATGGCTGGGTAGAGTTACTTGCTTCCACCTAATAGGGAAAACAGAAAGAAAGAAAGAAAAATGATAGGTAGCAGCAGTAGAAGGAAAAATGCGAGGAAAGGGAAGGAATGAGAAGAAAGAAAGGGAAAAAAGTGGCCTGGCACCAGAGTAAGCTCCAGTCACAGATGTCTGAGGCAGGTCTGCTGAAGAGTGCTTCCAGCTGCTGGAGCGTGGAGCAATAGAGTCCGAGGGTGGGAAGAGAAGAAGGAGCTGGGCTAGTAGAACCACAGGTCTGGGTATGCCTATCTCATCTACAGTATTTGATCCTCCCATCTCTCCTTATTTTCTTATCACTCACTCTTATATCATTTTGTTAATTAATGCACCTGGCCCCATTGGGAATTTCCCTTTGTTCTTCTCCTTTTTGTCCTTTTACTCTCCTACTCTGCAGTCTATCCTTTCTCATAGCTTTATGTAAGAATCTCCAAAAATTGATGAAATAACATTAGAAATATTTCAACAAACAGAGGCAACACTGGAAGTGTTTACTCCTCTGTGCCAAGAAATTTGGAAGACAGCCACCTGGCCAGCTGACTGAAGATTTATATTTATATTTGTTCCCACATAAAAGAAAGACAAACCAAAAGAAAAAATAATAATAATATAATTAGTATCACACATGAAGTATTGCTGAAGATAATTCAAAAATGACTGCAGCAGTACATTGACATGGAACAGCCAGAAATTCAAGTTAGATTCAGAGGAGAACATGGAATGAGGGATAACATTGCTAATATCAGATCAATCCGATTGAAAGCAAAGAATACCAGAAAAATGTTTACCTGTGTTTTATTGACTACATAAATGCATTTGACTGTGAAGAACACAAGAAATTAAGGATACCACTGCAAAGAATGGGAATTCCAGAACACTTAATTGTGTTCATGCCAAACCTGTACATAGAGCAAAACGCAGTTATTTGAAGAGACCAAAGGGACACTGTGTGATTTAAAATCAGGCAATGTGTGAGTCAGGTTTGTACCCTTTCACCATACTTATTCAATCTCTATGCTGAGCAAATAATCTGAGAAGATGAACTATATGAAGAAGAAAGCAGTTTCAAGATTGGTGGAAGACTCATTAACAACCTGTGATTTGTAAATGACACATTGGATGCTGAAAGTGAAGAGCGCTTGAAGTACTTATTGATGAACTTGAAACACTACAGCTTTTAGTAATGGAGTACACCTCAGCATAAAGAAAACAAAACCCTCACAACTGAGCATCATGATAAGCAAAAAAGATTTTGAAGTTGTTAAGTATTTCATTTTATTTGAATCCACAATGTTCATGAAAAAGCAGTCAAGAAATTATATAACATATTGCATTGGGCAAATCGGCAGCAAACAACCGCTTTAAAGTATTCAAGAACAAAGATGTCAGTTCACTTTGTAAGGTCCACTTGGCCCAAGCCATGGTATTTTCAATAGCCTCTTATGCATGTGAAAGCTGAACAATAAATATGGAAGACCCAAGAAGAACTGATGCTTTTGAATTGTGGTATTTGTGAAGAATATAGAATATATTATGGCCTATCAGAAGAACAAACAAATATGTTTTGGAAGTACAACTAGAATACTTCTTGAAAGTGAGGATGGTGAGACTTTGCCTCAAATATTTTGGGCATGATATCTGAGGGACCAATCTCAGAAGAAGGACATCTCATTTGGTAAAATAGGTCAGTAAAAATAGGAAGACCCTGAATGAGATGGATTGGCAAAATGACTGCTAAAATGGGCTCAAAGATGGCAACAGATTTGAGCGTGGCATGGCCAGGTAGTGTTTCATTCTGTTGCACATAGAGTCACTATGAGTTGGACATGACACAACAGTGTCTAGAAATAATCATTCTCTTCCTTCTAAACAATTTTAAGTCATTGCCTGTCTTTAGTAATTCCTCATTTGTTTTGTACATTTCAGACATACTCTTCCTAATACTCGTGTATCATAATGCCATTCTTCTGCTAAATCCCCTTTTAAGGCATTCACAGTGCTCATGTTTGGCTTTTCTTTTAACAAGCATTTCTGACCTTCCATAGTGTGTCACAATCTTCCTTTCTGGATTGTTTCTGAATTCCATACAGAACTTCTGAACTCCAGGCTAAATACTCCACTTAACACTGACATGTCTTCATTGTGGCTTTTTTTTCTGCTTGTGTAACACATATTATTAGCTGTCTCCAGTTTTCAAAGATCTAGCTCTCTTTTGAAGTGCAGCTCATTTTCCAAGTTCTCAGTGGAATCTTTCATGATAACTTTAGGGGCTACTATCAATTTTCATGAAAGTTAAGCCCGTGTCTTTTACTTATCACGTATTTCCTTGTACTATAGTAATGTATGGAGATGTCTTTTGTTGTTGTTAAGTGCTGGTAAGTTGATTCTGACACATAACGATCCTGTACAGGGTTTCCAAGGAGCTGCTGGTGATTTGGTAGAAAATGTGAATTTTGTTCCAGGACTATGCTTGATAAATAAATTTTGGATGTGTGTTGAAAGAAAAAATATTTTCTTTTCTCCCCTGAAATATTTTTCTATAGGGGTACTGGGAATTTTCTTGGGTTTGTATCTCCTTTACCTTTTATGGTCAAATTAGGATTCAGTTTTTATAAGAACAGATATGTGACAGAGTAGGGGCTTGGATAGTCTTGGGAAATCAAAAATGAAGAAAATTGCTTTCTAGAGTGAATCAAAGACCCTAGCAATAAGTTGACAGAGCTGGGGGACAGTCTCTGGAATTCTATCTTCTTTAACAAACCTTTGCTTGCTCCTTGTTTAAGGATTTTACAAAGTTAGGGCAGTTATTATCTATGCAGGATGGTGGAGGTTGGGTGAATGGGCAGACAGACATAATCATTGTTTCAGAATGAGTGCCAGGAATGTCACTCATTGTACCTTCCATGCTTATTCAAAGCACCTGCTCAATGTTGTTATTTCAGGTGCCAGAATGTGTCATACATTATTGTGTCATAATGCATAAATGAATTGGGAAGAGAGATCAAAGTGTACAGATGAAGGCTGAGTATGAGACTCAAAATGAACCCAGGGATTTAATTTGTGCTTTCAATTTCAAAGTGATGATCCACAAATTATGCAAACTGTCTTTGGATTGACATGTTGGATTATTGTTAGTGTGCAAACACATGTCTTCTCAGAGATGAAGTCTAACTTTGGATATGCCTGACAGCACACCATTTTTGCTTTCACAACTAGTTTCAATATTTATTTTGTTTTTCTATTTCAGCACGGACTCAAAATAATTCAGAACACCTTATATTAAGTAAGTATTAAACTAGTCATATACAATTAAGGAAACTTGATTGTTTGGCAGTTGGAGAACTGACAATAAAAGTTGGATTTTAATCAAGTAGCTTTGCTTTGTATTAGGTTTTCTGTATCCCTATCTTAGTCCCTATTTTTATCCATGCCTCTCCCCTAGACAGCTATGCCTGCCATGCTTGGCAATGACTTGGCTGCCCAATCATCCCTCAGGCAGCAGCTGCAGCTCGGGTGACACAACATTTGCTTTCACTCTGAATTACCAAACCACCTTATGTCCAGCTCCAAAATCAAAATCTAGAGAAGTAAACCATACATGTACTAGAATAGCTTAGTCTGGTAGTTATTATACAATGTAACAGCAACCCATAATTAAAAAAAAAAAAAAAGCATCTTATATTTTAACCCACAATATACACGTACGTGATTAACTAAAGCAAAAATTTCCCAGAGTTACATTTACCTCTAAACTAAGATTTCCCAACCTTGGTACTATTTATATTTTACTCTATGAAACTCTAAATTATGTAAGTAGAGAGAAAGCTGTCGTATACAATGCAGGGTGTTTGGTATCATCCTTGGCCTTTACTGTCTAGATCCTAGCCCTCTCCACTCTCCAATCTTGTGACTGCCAAAAATCCAAAAATGTCCTCTGGGAGGCAAAATTGCCCCAGCTCTAGTGTTTATAATGCATTCTGATATTTTCTATTCTGCTCTGCTTCATTAAAAAAAAAAAAATGCTGTTTTAACCTACTGTATTATCTTTTGGATTTCTGTTATGGTGCTATAAGATAAGCACTGGAAGGTAAACTACAAGGTAGGCAGTTCAAACCCACCAGCTGCTCCTTGAAAACCCTATACAGGGTTGCTATGAGTTGGTGTTGACTTGGCGGCACTTGACAACAGCATATTTTTATGGTTGTTGTTTTTAAGTACCATGGAGTCGGTTCTGACTCATAGTGACCCTACAAAGGTTTTCTGAGGCTGTAAATCTTTACGGGAGCAGACCGCCTCATCTTTCTTCCATGGAATCGCTGGTAGTTTTGAACTGCTGACCTTGAGATTAGCAGCCCGATTCATAACCACTATGCTACCAGACCTACTAATAAGTTACAACCTACTGTAGACAAGCAGGGCTTAATGCATATTAACATTGCTTAATTGTGATGAGTACCAGCTTTATACCCAGGATGTCAATGAGTTATCAGACAAGAAAAGGTCATTGTATTGAAGGAACTTGATTTAATATCACAAAGATGTTGACTGAGACCCAACTGCCATTTGCTAGCTATATGACTTTGTGCCAGTCTTAGAACAATAAAATACATCTCAACTCATGGGACTGGATATAAATAATGGCTCCCCTTCTTTTCTTAAATTATAAATATGAGAATGAAATAAAATAATATAAATGAAAGGATTTGGTGAAGTGATTTCTGAGAGCTATTATACTCTCTACAGAGGATTAGTTTTAGCCTGAAAAAGGGCTTTTGCATAAAATAAATTATAATTCAGGACCACGTATGTGCTAAAATAAAGCAAGAAATGGGTGAGGGCACTGAAGTTGGGGTACTCAAGAAAGGCTTCCTGGAAGGGAAAATGGAGGCCTCTATCTGCCTGTAATTTCCTTCATTCAGGTGTTGACAATGCAGAAAATCAGGTGCTGTCATATAGATTTCTACTCTGGTAGCCCATGTAGTGCAGAGTAGAACTGTGCTCCATAGGGTTTTAAAGGCTGAGATCTTTTGAAAGAAGATTGCTAGGCTTTTCTTCTGAATAGCCTTTGAGTGGATTGGAACTGCCAGTCCTTCAGTTGGTAGTGGGGAGCCTAACCATTTGTACCATCCAGAGGCCCTGGCTATGTAGAGGGCCTTGAAAATGTTAACGTAGCTTGAGTTCCTAACTGTCTTTAGTACTTACAAACATTTCAGATATAACCAGTGCTTCAGGACCACACTCCAAGGATGAGATGGCAGACCAGAAATGGCTCCTGTATGGTTTGCTTTCTTTTGTGGGGTTGTCTCTACTCTTCATTACCTGTTTTTGCCTGGTTTGTTCGCTGAGAAAGCACCAAGGTGGGTTTCATTTTCCCTCTTCCCTCTGTACCCACACTATTCCTAGGGTGGGTTGATGGATTTTTATGTGGTTTCTGCTGTTTTATTTTGTGCTTTTCTGGGATACACCATGGATAATGATTTCCTGGGTAGTGACTCATAAGCAGATGGATTAATTCAAACATCCTCAAGTCATGGAACTGGCATGGAAGACCATGGCATGGTCTTCTGGTCAGGGACCTGAAAAGGAGGCACATTGCCGGGAATTTCTTGTTCAATTTGTGTTAATTTTAGGATCATATGAGAAGAAGGTCTGTAAGCCTTAAAGAGGTTTAAAGAGAAGTTGAAATGATCTCTCAAATTAGCCTATTTATGATTTGAATACATCCTCTTTTCCACAGTTACACCTTTTTTTGTCAGTTCTTTCTACATGCTTGAAATGCATCCTCAGTCAACAGTAACACATTTGAAAAATGCATGTTTAGTTAGGATGGGAAGTGTGTGATATTTTAATACAAGTTCCCTTCTGCTTTTGTAAAATCTCCTTCAACCTCACAACCACTCATACACAGTAAGGCAGAGGAGCGTGAAGGATTTTAATCTAACACTTCAGCTATCTCTTCATTTTATGCTCTTTTCCATCTCTTTCCATTCCTTTTCCATAACACAAAGTGTAGCTATAGAAACACTCAATTTATCTGCCTTTAGAGAAAGCTTTGTCTGTGAAAAAGCACTTCTGGTATTTTTGGATGAGGACTTCTGGAACCAAAAACCTTCCAGAATACTGAGGAACCCCTTTATAATCCCAAATCTGGATCTTCAACTCCAGGGCTCTTTCATGATTTCTCTGTAGGTTTCATCATCTTTTTTGAGGCTACTAGAATTTCTTTCAGAATGGCAAGAAGAGAATCAGAGAGTAGGCAGTAGGGGGTTTGGGGTAAGATGGTGACAGTACAACAATGTCTCTGTCATTGGGCATGGGATGTCCTCAGTGAAAGTACTTCTAGCCTTTTTAAAGTGATGAACTGGATTCTCTTGTATCCTCTTGTATGTTTCATAGAGTATCTCAGATGAGAAATGATAAACCAGTGAAGAAAATGACCAGCATGAATTTTCACAAACTAAAGGCTGTGTGGTACAGCAAATAAACCAATAAAAATAGCATCACTGGCAAGGCATAGGAGGGGAAGGCTTTGGGTAGAGACGCTGCCAACATCACTCTAAACACTGAATTTCAATTTAGCAATTTGATTCTAGAATCAAAACCACAATTTAGAGAGAATTAAAGAAGGTTTTGTATTGGTCTTTATTCCTTTTGGTTTCTTATTTTCCTTTTTTTGTGTCTTTCAGAGAAACAAAAGAAGTCCTTTGATTCAACAGGAAGGGAAATTAACTTGGTATGTATGATGT